TGCAGCCCACAGGAAATTCCAGTTTGCTGCCCCATTTAGGTTGCTGCTTGCAGCTGTGCACTGGAGCTAGCTACTCTAAAGTTGGCTTATACGAGGGATCCTGCTTGTCTTTGTTTTTCACTTTCTGAGCAGAGGTATTGAAATGTCTAGGTTTAGATACCATCAGTCGATCTATCTTGATTTTTTTTTTCCTCAGCTTGAATGATTTCCCCCTGTAAAAAGTAAAAAGAGGATCTTGCTCTTAACTCCATCTGGAATTGCTGCTCTACCCGGTAAAGCCAAGTGATGGTGTGGTACTCGCTGTGGAGTTACTGATTTTGCAGTAGTTTAAAGAGCTGCCAAGTCCTAAAGCATTAAAGTTGTATTTCTGCTTGGCTAGTCTGATTTTTCAGCTGGGTGGAAGGACTAGCAAATGCATACACATCTTCCAGCTTTCCCTGGGTTTTCCAATACTGAGTCCATAATTCTTCTTCCAAAAAGGGAACCTGTCAGCGGCAACTAGCTAGTAGCCATTGTGCTGTGTTTGAAACCTTCTGTCTATGGGGTCTGTATCCTGATGATACTGCCTTAATCGCTTCTTGCAGTAAGTTTGTTTGTCTTTGGATGCTGTGTTGCTTCTTGATTAATTGATGGACATTTAGACCAGCACTCTTCCTACTATCGCAGAGCTTATGATGGAAATTCTCGAAGAACCTTGCTTTAACCTCCGAGACACTTAGCACTTCTTCATGGCGTTTATATCCGTGTAGAAATGAATTTGCCAAGACAAATGAATGCAGTTACTGACTGGAGCAGCCGTTACCTGCTGCTATTGAACAGTTAGGAGAGGGTTAAGAAGAAAACCTCTTCTGAGCCACTAGATTGGCCCTGACTAAGATGAATGTCTAATTCACTCCCAGCGTCCTTACTGCTGCCAGTAATAAAAAGCTTGCTTCACATATTCACCCCACTGCAGACGTTTCTCTTAAATTAAATATCAAGAGGACATATACTAGCACGATTCCACGCCAAGCCAATATTATCAGATTGATGTCAGCAGTGATAATAGAAGAAGGATAAGTTGATGAGATTTCATTTATTAAATAAAGTAAAGGGAATACGCAGTGATAGAGAGGATTTGGTAACTCTCGGTGTGTCAAAATGCAGCAAGATCATGCTCATTCTGTGTTACCTCAAGGGATAGCAGAGAGAAGGATGCCCTTTGTTTCATTTTAAGAAAACCTCTGCCTTCTTTTCCAGACAAAGACCTGATTTAGATCCCTCCATGGGAGGGGGAGAGGAAGATCTGAAATCATGGATTTCATGTGTATGTACCCTTCCTTCCCATTGAACAGTGGTGACGCAAAGGTTTCTTTCCCCGCTATGATGGGGGAGGCACTGCTAATGAGTTTTATTTCTAGATCCATCCTTTCCTTTTTCCCACCTGTAATCTTTTCTCCTTTCCTCGTCCTTTAAACAGATGAGTGTGTGTGTTACTGGTTTAATCTTTCATATTCTGTATGTCCTGCATTTATTTCCAAGGTATTGTCAGAGCTCATCTCCCATACTTCCTTGTCCACAGGTATTGTCCTAGCCCCTCCCAGCCCAGACTTTTTCTCTCTTGCCTTTTTCCTAGCTGCTATAAATGAGCCTCTTACATCTGTTTTGATAATAGCGGTAGCAATTGCAACGCGTTTTATTTTAGACAGAGGCTAATTGTCTATCTTATTTGGTGGTGGCATATTATGCTTAAAACTGTGACCCATTTTAGAAGAAAGGTCAAAGCATACTAGTCTTCTGCTCTTTATGTATTCAAACCTCATCCCTGCTCCACCATGTTCCTTCCCTCTCATTGTTTAAGAAATAATAATAAAAACCCTCAAACAATGAGACGTTTACCAAGAGCAGTGTAGTGGAATGTCCAGAAGATGAATTTTTCTGAAGGTTAGTTAGTGCCAACAGAGTGTCATTGCTCTCAACAGAGATGTTTGTAGTTAAACACTGCTGGTCTTCATCAGGTTTTTTGTGTTTAATTCCTTTTCCTTTCAGATATGTATGAGTAAAGCCAGACAACTGTAAGGTGCAACTGGTGTATAGGGCTGTAGTTCCCACTTGTGTGGAAATGTTGCAACCTGAAGTTAAGAGATTTAATGTGAGCAGGAGAGTGGCATCCCTTTGAGTCAGATAGGACAGGAGTAGTGATTGCTGTGCTGGGAGAAAAGCTCCTCAAGCAATTGTTCACCAAAGCAGTTCAGATACCCCTTTTCAGTCCAGATGGGTACCAGAACTAGTCTCCAGGATGTGGGTGACTTGTGTACTCCCGGACTCTGCAGGATATGCTTCCTTATGGTGAGTTCACATTTACTACTTGTCCCTTCGTTTCATAGATCACACTGCATGGTTGGGGCACAGTGACAGTTATCTCCCAAGCAGCGCTAGCTTCCCGCTCCAAAGTGAAATGTCATCCTCAGTGGGATTTAACTGGTTCTGTTGACTTTCCAGTTTACTTGTGAATGCACTAATACATTGGTTTGTGTAATTCGTATTGATAATTACCTTAACCAACTTCGCGTTATGTGGATTAGTTTCACTAAATCTGTTTTGAGAAGCTGGTGCAATTACCACAGTTTGAGATTTTATTTTGAAGAAATAAAGGAGAATATTCTTGTTATGATTCTGGGTACCCGGTACCCAATAAATCTCTCTGTGTTGTGGGAAGTGGCATATATGAATGCTGGTTTAGGTACTCGCTGGGCAATGCATGCCATTCTGTGCTGATTGATCCCTTGCCTCTGGTAGGCTTTAGGCAGCAACACTTACTCTGCGGCTTCTCGCTCACCACTGCATGGCTTTTAAATAGCCCTCTGCGCTGTGGGCTGAGCACCAAGGTGTCACCTAAAGCAGGGGGCCACAGACTTTGCACTGCTGTCTGAGCCCACAGATGGGTCCTAGCTTTATATTTACTCTAGGCAATGAGGACTGATGCCATAGGAGGGACAGTGAAGGAACAGACAAAAAAAAAAAGGCACAATTCCTATAGCTCTCCATGCCGACAATGGCAACCTCAAGCATTCTTCTAAATATTTCTCTGAGATGTTTGTACCATATTGTTCAGTTCAGATGAATACAGACTGTTTCGTGGCATGCTGTACCTTTTTGCTCTTCCAGCTTTCTGCATGAAAATTACAAAATGCCCTTCTGGTTTAACATGACTGAGTTTAAAAACCGTAATTTTAAAAGTCTTAACTTTTTCAATGAATTGAGGGATTTGGTGGTATTTCCTGACCTGGTATTGTTTGGTATCATTTCCACAGTCTTGCTGATTTGATTAGAGCGATATTAAAGTTAGTGACAAAGCAAAATGCCAACATTATGAGTTTCTGAAGCTCTCCCTGGGATCTTTTCTATTCCAAAATTTGAAGATTTTTTAGAATATGGATTTTTAGAGGCTTTAAAGGTGATTTGCTATAGAACATGGAAATTAGAAATACACACTAGCCTCTAGGGACTATGCATAGAATAAATTTCTTCTAAAAGCTCTAAGATTAGTGAAGAGGTAGAAAAAGAAGTCTCTGTAGTATCTTTGGTGGTTTCTGATCCAAACCTCAGTGTTTTAGAGTGTGGCTGTCATACTGTTACTAATAAATTCTTAGTCTGTCCGTGTATGTTGGCAGTAGGACTGAGGACTGAAGAAGTATCATTTGGAGTATGTCTTAACCAAAATATTTTGAGGGAGCAACCAGGTTGTTGATATGGAAAGGACATAATTTTTTTTTTTCTTCTTTTGGCCCTTCCACTTGCCTTGTGAGCACCTTACAAAAATGAGTGTGATTTTGAAACTCATATCTGAGCTCTCCAAAAGCTTTTAGATTTTGGTTTAAGATTTCATGTTTCTTAGAAATCTGTTCAACCTGAGAGAATGAGACATGCCAGGGATCAGGTCATGTTTTCTTCCTGCCTGGTTATTGAAGCCCTGTTGCTGAATGAGTGCCTGTTGTTGTTATGTGGAAATGAATATATCATAGCATGGCATTAATGCCTGCCTGTAGCATCAAGTGCTTTGGAAGGAAGAGGTGCGTTTATATTTGGGCACAGATCTCTCTAAGCATATTGGGGCAGAAAATGCAAGAAATTAAATGGATTTATGGTTTAGGAGGCAGCATTTGAGAATTGCTACACCTAAGCATATGTTCTCTTGTTCTCTGGTAAAACATACCATGGCAATTGTGTTGCAAATTCCTGCAATTTGTGTCTGCCTGCCTGTGCAGCTGATGACACTGTCATTACTGTGTTTGTGCCATTGTTGCTGGTATTGTTTTACAACGACCTTCCCCTTTATTGGTACTGTTGCTGATGATGTGCCATATGTACACATGCACATTAGAGTATAAGAACATCATCCCTAATTGTTCTTGGGTAGCTGTCAATGCCACTTACGGGGTATGAGTACTAATTGCTTCAGAAATACAAAGAAAAAGATATGTGGTCTTCCTATTATTCTGTGTTTTCTAGTCACTAGGAGAATTGCAGTGCTTCCAACTATGTTGGATTTTTTAAAGTGTTTAAATAGATGAGAATTCAATAGATCGAGGCGGCTTATTCAACAAGTCCATTCAGTTCCTTGTCAGACTGTTACAGATCTAGTGCAGGCCCAGCCAGGGTTCCTGAGTTCTGCCAAAGATTTCCAATGTGAGTTGGGGAGATTGTTGAACCTCTTGGAATAGATATTTTTTTTTCCTGACTGCAGAGGAGAGATGATATTTTATCTAAGGATAAAACAGCCTTCCACACCAACCTAGAAAGAAAGTGTTCCTTCTTTCTGCTAAGTACTCTGGATTTTTCAGCTGAAAGACACTGTTGGTCATTTGACCCACTTTGGTGATTGCTGCTCCCACCAGTTTCTCTATTTTTTAGGGCTAGGTGACTCCAACACAAGATTAGTATGTATGTCACTGGTAAAATGGTAGTAAGTGGGTGAAAACTCCTCTTCACATATCTTTCTGTGCTTGTTTTCCCTGCAGGAGGAGGAACACTGATCCTGTCTGTGCAAGCCTGCAGTCTGAAATTCTGAAGTGCTACCAAGAAAACAAACATGAAGTGCTCAAATGCTCTGAGCTGGCTAAGGAGTATCAGCGCTGTGTTAGTGCAGCTCAGAAGGTAACAAAAGCTTCCCTGTTGTACTCATGGGCTTTGCTGTCTTGGTTTGTGTGGTGTTTTCTTCTGGGAAGTCTTTCTGAGAGCTGTGGTATCTGTTGGTCAAATTGCAGTGTTCACAGGAAACAATTTTTCTTTGGGATCCGTTTTCCCACATTCATTCCACATTTCCCAGTCACATTTGGTATGTCCCAGCTTCACTCCCATCGGTGGGTCCTGTTATACTGCGCTGCCACCCGAACAGTAGTACCAATGCTCCTAGGTTTCAAAGTCAGCCACAATAATCTTCCCAAGTTTTGCCTTCTTGGATGCTCTATTTTGCAAACAGTAGGCAAATCCATTTTGCCAATGTCGGCAACATTTTAAACGGGCTCTAAACATCCTCCCATTATGGGACTTCACAGTTGGAGGTCTTGCTTCCTTTTGTTGCTGCATGAGGAAAGCTTCTTTACTGGGCAAAGCTGCTGCCTGTTAAGAAAACTGCACACTCCTAAAAACTGTTCATCTTGTGCGGGGGGCCAGCAAGCCTTATGGCTCTTCCTTCTGAGATGCAGAGCCCTAGTAGATTCTGTTGATGCCTTAGGACAATGGCTGCTCAGTACCTTGGAAGAATTTCTGGCTATTGAAACAAGTGAAGGAGAAAAGAAAAATGAAATATTTGGACATTACAACTAGGATAGGGTCTTGGGAAAAGTGAGTGGTAAGACATAAGCTGCTGCTTGGGCTGTCTGCAGTGTAAAGGATGGTGTTCCCCACCTGAGAATTCAGTGGGTCAGGTGTCCCTCAAGGGCAGGCTTTTCTTTTTTTGGGGGGGATAGAAAATTCTCCAGAAGGTGCTGAGACTATAGTAAGGTGGATTTGGGGAAAAGGATGGAGCCTTCTGGGAATAGAAAACTGAGACTCCTCTCATGGGATTACTAATGCAAAGGGTGGGGGAGAGGTGGAGATTTCATAGAAGCAGTCTTTCTCTGTCGCATTAGCATTGTGAGGGGAAGCTGTATGCCTGATTTAAGTATAACATGAAACAAGCTGCCAGCCGGCTCCCAGAAGAAGCCCGACAGAAGGAGATGGGAAAATTGTCAGGATATATTAGACCAAATGTTGTTGCTAGTCCTAGTGGAATTTTTTTCCTTCCTGTTTACAAAGAAGGTCTTTGTATGTCTGCAAATCAGCAAGGTTAAAGCTGCCAGGGAAAGGGCTTTTTTCTGATATCTTTAAAGTCCCCAGCTCCCAAAACATGTGGTTTCTTTTTCTTTCTCAGTTTTAAAGTAAAGCTGCCACTGCACAATCCATGCCCTCTGTTGCTGTGTTCAGAGCATTGGCGCATCTATTGCCAGCCTCCGTTACCTGATGCTTCCTCCTTGCCTCCTGTAAATCAAGCTTGTAGCCTTTTCAGTGGAGTATATCTTTAGCAAATGCATTTACCAATACATCTTTATTGCATGCAGTGCAGGCAGAATGTGGTTACCAAAGAAGACAGATTGCATTAAACTTCAGCATATTTGCAAGCTGCGGTTCCAACCCGCCTGAGAAAGGGGCTGGGACACTGCCAGCCCTGAGCCCCAGCCCGACATTATTAAAGAGTAAATTGGAAGCTAAATGACTGGTAACAGCAGAGGGCAGTGAAAGATCCTATTAACTTGGATCTTTTTTTGGATTTGTGTGGTGGTACGGTTTTTTGATAGATTTTCTTTATAAACCAAAAACTGGGGGTTGTCTTGGTTCCCAGAGTGTTCAGTGAACTTCAGAATTTTTTTTCCCCACTGTTACAGAAACTTCCTGAAAGGAGCAGTGCATAGGACATTAATTTGCTGTGGATGATGACAATGTGGTAGAAAATCTCCTTGCTATGTTTTAAGAAGGGGCAGGAGACACTAAGGAATAGGTAGCTAAACCTTGCAGCTATATATGGGCGCTAGAGGGTTCTACAAGTACAAATTCAAATAAAACTTGTGTAAGGCAGTACATCTTCTGTAGTTTCCTTTGTCCCAGGACAGCTCAAGCCCTGACAATTTGCCTCACTGCTCTTACTGAGTCCTCTGACTCCTGAGATATATGTAGCTATCACAAGCTGTTGTGTTTTTTCATTAAGCATTAAAACTCCCTCCTCCCTTCCCCTTTTAAGCTGTTATTTTTCTTTAAGTTTAAATTAGCATCTTCTACCAAATGGCTTTGTCTCACGCATTCCTCATTCAGGAAATTCAGGTTGGAGGAATGTGGGAAAGAGAGGCCAGAATCTCTTGATTTCTTGGGTGTTTTTTTCCTCTTTTTTAAACACAATTTATTTTCCAGTACAGGAGGTTGTAATCAAAGCTGGATGTGTGACTTCAGCTCACTTGCACGCTGGTGATTTGTTCTTCTGCTTTTTACTAAAGATTTTATAAGGCTTGGTGAATATTCTTTAATGAAGCATCTGGTTCTCTGCAAGTTCCTTTTGATGGCTGGTAAAAATGTCTCCAGGGCATGGTATACATTAGACTCGGAGAAAACAAGCTCTAGATTTCTAGACTGAAAATTACAGCTTACAGTGGATGAGAATTATTCTTTGCATCTTCCCCCTTACTGTGTTGGTTTGAGACTGTTCCTTTGGGCACCCGTTTCCCTTTGCCTATTGCTGTGCACATCTCTGAGCCAGGAGCTGAGATGCACCCTCAGTTACTTCTGCCCCACGGACAAATATATCAGGTAATCATTTAATGAGTTTTGAAATATATTTTCTACTCATTTCCTGTACAGGCCCTCTTACTGGAACAGGTTACTTTATTGTAGTGCATGGTAGGGATATAACTGACGTTACCTGTTTTGTATGTTTTCTGGCCATCAGGGCTTCTTTTGTAGTCAAGGGAGAGAAATAGGCACCGCTAGAGCGTGGCGCATCTGATCCTAAAACAGTCATCTGAAACAGGTCAGCTGAATTGCTATCCACAAGTGAGTATTTCTCTCTGTTGCTTGGGAGGCACATCCAGGCCATGAACTCCAAAGTTAACGCCTGTAGCGGGATGTTCATTGAGTTATGGGAGCAGGAACCTGCTCTGATTATATGCCTTTGTAGCTAGTATGCTTTCAACTTCCCCTGCCTAACCTGCTCACTAACTTTGCTGTTTATACCATCCTGAATGTTAAGTTTTGGTTGTGCCGCCATTGGCTCGCTGCAGTGGTGTCAGCCCACTTGGGCTCTGGGCTTGCTGCGTCCTGTGCTTTGCTTATGTGGGAGCTCTCTGACTTTAGAGTATGTTACTGTAACGTCTCCTGTTTAATTTAGGAGTGTTTTATCTTTTCTGGTGGTCTGTTTTCATGGCTCTGCAGAACTTCAGCTACAGCATAAAAATCGCTGGCTTTAAATCTAATAAAAGCTGGGATAATGGGACAGCTGTGGGAGGGGCAGTTCCCATTGTGTCTTTTAAAATTGCCTGTAGTTTATTGACCGCAAGTTTCACCAAGAGCTACTGCTGCCGTTAGATAATGAGAATTGAAAATTGCTGCTGCTGTTTCCCCAAGGTTTTATCTCGTGCCAATGAGAAGAGGGTGTGGAAGGAAAAGGAGAGTGGGCAGTGGAAAGCTGCGTAATTTCTTACTTTGAGTCCAGATGGAAGGGAAAAACAAATTTTTTTTTAAGTCTGAGTCTTATTACTGAACTGCTTCCCTGCAAATCCCCCTGCAAATATGCACTCACATGCAAGCTTTTCAGAATATTTTGTGACCCATTCTGCTTCCGTTATGTCCTGTTCACACCAGTAGGCAAATCTGAATTTCCATCGAATTTTAGTTGGTTAATTTGTTATGTAATTGGTGGTTATACCAGGGAATCTCTGACTAGCTGCCACTTGAAAAATGCAGCCTCTGGTGACCGTATATTAACATGATTTGAGATTTCAAACAGAACCTGCTTCTTGTGACTGTGTGCAGAAAAATGTCTGTTAGTAAAGAGCATGTATCCCTTTCTTTCCAAGTGTTTTCTTGCTGTCTCTAAATGCCTGGCTTTCATAGAAGGACCGAGGTGAAATTTTTGCACTCTAGCTCCTGGCCAAACCAAGCTGTAAAGAGCTGCATACTCAGACACATGTATTCCCTTGTCAATAGGAGCTGTATACATTGAGCTAGAAGCCATTCATAATTCTGCGCTCTTCCTCCTTATTCTGTGTCCAGGTTCTCACGAGTCTGCTATTCATAACAGACAAAGGTAAACCTGCTTCTATCAAGGCTTTAGGGCTTGTCTACATAAGGAAATTACAATGCAATAAACTGGTGAGTGAGTTTATGGTACAGCAACTTCTCTGTATATGAACATTCTCGGTTTGTAATGGAAGTGCAGGGAAAATTCACACTCGTTTACTGTGAGTCACTCTGCTATGCAAACAAGCCCTTGCAAAACACTGATTGACCAGATTCCAGCAGAGGTAGACTTTTAACATGACCTTGAGTCAACTGCATTCTTCTTTGCCCTTGACCATAATAAAAAGGAATGTGGTGAATTTACTGCTCCTACTTTTCCAAGTGATCCCTGTGAAAACCTAGTTCCTGTTTGGCACACACAGCAAAGCATTGCAACTCTGCTGGAAGTTTGTCTCTAATCTATGGGCAGTGACCTAGATTGCTGAGAAGATGCCACAGGTATCCCGTGTCCCATCCTGATGGAGCAGTTTCGTGCTGAAGTGTGGCCTGCTGGGAGCCTTTTTTTCAGCAACCTGAATCTCTCTCTGCTTAAGAGAAACAGCTTCAGGTTGCGTTGAATGCCACGGGCTGCACTGCAGGTATCTCTGATCATTCTGTATCATTAAGCTCTTGTTAAAGAGATGTTTCCATTCTGATGGATTGCAAAATGCTTTATAGATTGTTTATGTACTTATTGGGGTAGAGAGTAGCAGTCAGTGGGCGTGACTGGGGGAAGAAAATTTTGGCGAGGTATAGTGAGGTCCATATCAGTATTTGAGAAACGCCAGGATTTCTCCTCCCCCGGGATTCTGCAGAGGTAGATCTTAGCTGTTGAAGTCTCATCGAGGAGA